ATTGTCCACTTTTGTGTGCAATATGAGCGTCAATTATAGAGAATTTACCGCATGTCGTATTCTATTGCTAACGTCTATCGTCTCACATTTCGACCATGATTTCGGGCTTCTGTACCAGTGCGCGGCTCGTTGCGCGACGGCCCGTAGTGGTCGTTGTAGTATCCTCGTGTCGAGGTGCGTAACGGTCCGCGGCGAGGTGGACGCCGCGCCGCGCCGCGCGGCGGCGGTGGGGGTACGGGGGGCGGGCGCACTGCTAAACCCACCCACACAAGCACATGATATCGGAAATGATATAAAATTGCGTCGAGCGCGCCGCTGATATTTAAATTGGTTCGCTAAACCACGGATTAATGCGCGCAACGACGTCCGACAGCCCACGCAGCGGGCTTCGAAAAAGGGCGCAACAGAATGTGCACGGCGGACGGCAGGAAAAAAAAAGAAGAAGAGCAGACCGAAGAAAAATAACCGCGCGCACTCTTGTCGGCCCTGATCGTCGGAAACATTCGCGTCGATACCTGTTCCACGCGTTGGACAGGTGTTCCCGGTCGGCCTGCCACGGGCACCGTGTAGTCGGTTTCTTTATCGGCCACGCTCGAAAAACCCCGCGCAACTGTCTCGCTCGCGGTGCCATTTTTCTCGGGCCACTGTTTACGGCTGGCGCCGAGCACCGTGGTCTAGTTTAAATCGTCCGCTTTTCAACCATCGGACAGCGGAACTCGGGTCCACCGAGACCCAAAGTTTAAATATTATTATTCGGTCACTTAGTTCACGACAATTAATTGAAATTTCCGCACGTTTCATTAAGATCTATAAAAAAAATCGATGCATCTAGAAGGAGTACCTAACTCTCCAACAGCGGAGCTCGGGTCCATCGAGACCCAGTTCATATAAATACTGTTATTTGTCCACTTATTTCACAACAATTAATTAAAATTCTTGCACGTTTCATTAAGATCCATGAAAAAAGAGTCAACGCATCTAGAAGAAATACCTGACCATCGAACCGCGGAGCTCGGGTCTTTCGAGACCCAGATCGTATAAATATTGTTATTTAGCCACTTAGTTTAAGACAATTAGTTTAAATTTTCGCATGTTTCATTAAGATCCGTGAAAAAATAGTCGACGCATCTACAAGAAGTACCTAACCCTCGCACGGCGGAGCTGGGGTCCATCGAGACCCAGTTCGTATAAATATTGTTATTTGGCCACTTAGTTCAAGACAATTAATTGAAATTTCCGCACGTTTCATTAAGTTCTATAAAAAAGTCGACGCATCCAGGAGCACCGAAACATGTCGAAAAAATTGGTAAATAGAGTGATAAATAATCTTAAGTTTAATCGGTCATATTTTCGTCGAAAAATATCGCCGTTCGAGTGTTAATATCCTCCGTGGATCAATGTAACTTTGCAGTTGCGTACGGGCTTGTCAGGTTCTCTGACTTATTTAACAGTCGAACTTCGTTTATCGAGTCATTTTAACGAAGTGTGTTTAAATGGTCACCTAATTAGTCAATTCTCGACAATTCAATTAAATAAATGGCTGTTACCGTAGGAACAGGACTAGCAACAGATTGCAACAGACTAATCTACATGCAACATACTAACAAGTTTACGTGAAGTAAACTTCAAAAATACGTTAGGAAAAAATGATGAATGAAGGTAAAAGATCATCATAAAAACATCGTCGGTTATTTATAGTTGTGAAAATCGTCCATTGTAATCAAGAATAAATGAAGTGATGAATTTCTTTTTTAAAATTCACCTTACTCCGATATTGTGTCACGTGAAAGATGAAAATTGATGAATTATATAATTCTGAAATACGCATATAAAAAGTTTGGATCACAGACGGTTAAAACGGGGAACTTCGTTGAATTGCAGTGTCTGGACCAACCGGGATCCGAAGTAACAAACGCAACGACTTCGGTGCGAGTGAATTCAGTGATCTCGGTGAAAATTGATGTGAAACGTGTTCCTAAATTGCACAAAGTTTCGAACGCTTATAGAAGAACTTCGTGAGAAAAACTGCACGCGAGGAAGTCCGCTTAAAAACTTGTCGACACGGCTGAGGTTAAGTACCCCAGTTGCGGCGGGAAATTTGAATTGCACGCTCCATTTGGAGTGCGCGACACTACAGAGATACTGGAAGAAGTTTGACAATTGATCACTAAATTGAATCATTGGTAATTCAATGGAATTAATAAATAAAACTGCAGATTGTTGAACTGTCTCTGTAGCAGCGGGCGATTTTCCGAGTCTGAGTGAAAACTAATAAAAGATTACTCCAATTATGTTGACGTATCGATATAGAAGGAGTTCGTCTATCGCCGGACGGTGCCTAATACTGGACAGCAGTTGTATTCACGAAATTGTAAACCGTTACAGAGTAGATCGAGCGGGGATGAAACATGCAGGTACTGTCACGTGCCGGTCGCGTATTACGCAACGAAACAAGCGAATTTGTTGTTAGATTCGACGGTGGAAATGAGTGCTACACCAATAAACTTTTGAAGTGCTATATCTGCCACAGTTTTGTGACGAAAAATACACAAAAGTTGTTATCGCGAAATACGGTAAGTACCATTTTAATTGCGTTAGAATTTGCTGCGTTCGGTGGATCCATTCCCACAAACGGGGACTTTTTGTTAGATCAACTGTCCCCTAATTTTGGCCAGCACAATTTCCCCTATTCCCGGACATCTTAACCCTTTGCACTCGGAGACATTTTAACCATAAATCCGGAACAGTTTCTCTGAACTATTTGCATTCTCTGCGATTTATAATTGGTGCGTTTTACGAGTGCAATCGAGTCGCGTGACACGTACAACACTTTCAACAGCTTTTCAAATGTAAACAATTGTCAGCAGGTGGCTCAAAATCGCCCTTCGAGTGCGAAGGGTCGATTGATGATGGGACAATGTTCCTTGTAAGAAATGGTTCGAAGGAAATAAAGAGTGCACGGGGGAATGTGCGAAAAATTTGCGAAAGGCGATCGGGGTGGGGAGCCGACTAAACATTGGGTCCTCGAAGCACAGCAGTTTTTCGACTGGATCCAGTGTCCAGATCGTAAGAAATTGGCTGGCGAAACCAGCGGCGACGTGTCGGGTGCTCCTAGGCCCGATATCCGGATCCCCTATCACCGAAGCACATTTCACATCTAAACAGCCGGATCCGAGATAATCCACATGCAACACCGTAGCCGATAAAATCTCCCACTGCAAACGTAACAACTGTTCCATTATCCGGGCACTGGCGTCTTTTACGACGCGTTCCTGCCAAATCCGGGATAATCGAGGACCTAGCCGGGTACCCGCGGCCGTCGAGTGATCGAAAGAATCCGTCGCCGTCCGGCGAGCGAGCCGACGACGTGTTTCTCGAACGTTCCGCGTCGCGATCGGCGCACGCGTTTCACGAGGACCGTTGCCGTTCGTTGGAAACGGCTCGCGGCCAACTTCGCCGGCAACCCTTTCGAGCGTGGCCGCGCGCAGAATTCCGACAGCTATGACCGAGAGCTCCCAAAGAAAGAGACGGCGAATCAGGGAGAAGCGAAACGAAAAGAGAAAAAAGCCGATCGAGCTAGAGCGAGCGAGCGAGCGAGAGAGAGAGACGACGGAGCGGGGGGTGGAGAGGCGAGCCGAGAGTAGAGACGAAGGAGAGAAAAAGAAACGAATCCGAGGAACGGGTAAAAGGGATACTGTGCGTGCCCGTAAATCTCTTGGCGCCCGTTGTTCTCGCGGTCCACGACGTTGGTTCCTTGTCCGTTCCGATCCGTTCCGCCGTTCCGTGGGCCGAAATTTGCCCCCCTCCCCGTCGGCCCGCGGCGCGGCGCGGCTCCGGCCGGCACAAAAAAGGAGGGAACACCCACAGGAAAGGGAACCGGCGGAAAAAAAGGAACGAGACAGGAATAGAGCCCGAAAGAGAAAGGGCAATTGATCGCGTCCGCGAAACGGGAGGCCCCTGGACGAGTTCGAACGTTAGCCCGGGCCCGCGACGTTCGTCCGCTCCCAACCCGCGGCCCGTGTTCGCGCGATTTCCGCGTTATCGCGGGAAAACGCGGCCGGTCCCGTAACCCGGAATATCGATCTCTCTCTTTCTCTCTCTCGGGGACGGGTCGGGGACCGACCGGCCGATCGCCGCGGTGTGCCGGTCGGCTAAGTGCCGCCCCTTAACGATCCCCGAACTCTCGATCGCGTGCGAACGCGCCGATTATTATCGCGTAAACTGCAAATTGCACGTTATTACCCGGTCGGCGTTTCTCCCTTTTTTTGTGGCCGGCACACAGGGCCCCGGCCCTGTGTACACGCCGAAATCGCTCGTGCCTTTTATTCCTCTACAAGGCGCGCACTGCCCGGGCCACACGATATCCCACTTCCGATACCACGATGCTCTCTCTTTCCCTCGCCCGCTCTCTCTTTCTCTCTCTCGGGGCCCCAAACTCCTCGGAAAACCGTCGAAATTTCGGCGAAGCGTGCCGCACACCACGCGCGCCGATCGACGCACAACAAACCGCGGGGTACACACTGCGAACAAACGCGACGGCGAGGGGGTCTCTCGGTGAACCGGCGAAGAAAATCTCGCGGCAACTGAGGGGTGACTTCTCCGCTTTTTTCTCTCCTTTTTTTTAACGGAGCACTGGCGCAACGGCTCTCGAACTGTACAGCATCGACGAACGGCCACGGTCCGCAGTCGATAATGGTGTTTACCAAAGCGTCGTTTGTTCTGCCCGGCTCAGGCTAGGTTGGGTTCCGCCGCGCGGGGGGCGGGGGGAGGGGGACGAAGGGCGAAAAACCTTCGGGGAAAACTCGAAGAAACAAACAAACAAACAAACAACACGCCGATCGCGGGAACGAGTCTGTTGTTCCGGCGCGTCGCGACACGCGTGTAGCCGCTTGTGTTGTCTCTTTTTCTCGTGTAGGCGCGCGAGGACAGTCGGGAAGAAAACGTTAGTAGAGTAAGAAAAAAAAGAAAAGAAGAAGAAAGAAAGATGAAACGTTAAGAACCTGTTTCCCATACACTACGCGTGGCATCGACGAGGCGTCTGAGCCGAGTCTCGATAACACCGGTAGAATTCTCGAAGGGATGCACACTTTGGCCCGTCACTCGTCTCTCACGACGACACAACGCGTTTTTGTCTGACGCACCGCGCGAGACTCGTGAAACATTCGCAGCACGATGCGTGCACGCCGTGCTCGAGGACACTACCGTGCATCGCCGCCGGCTAGCAGGAGGCGTTGACGGCAATGGTAGTGGTGGCAGCGGTGGTAGTGGTGCCGCTGGGTGGTGGTGGTGGTGGCGGTTGCGACGGTGGTGGTGGTGGCGGTGGTGGTGGTTGGTGGTGGTGGTGGTGGTGGTGGTATGGTGGTGGTAGTAGAGGCGGCGGTGGTGGTGGTGGTGAGATTGTGGTAGAGGTGGTGCCGATGGTGATGGCGGTGGTGGTGATCATCGACGGACGCAGCAAGGAGGCCAGGACGACGGAAACGTGACGACTTCCGCATTTTTATTCCGCAGGACCATTCTACTTGCGGCGGAGGCCTCCATTTTCTCGGTCCCGGCCAGCAGACACCGTGCCACACGATCAACAACGACGACGACGACGACGACGACGGCGACGACCGGTGATCCGATTGGCATAATTGGGACGCGTTTTACCAACGGGCACTCATTTCCACGGAAACTACAGGCTCGCGCACTTACCCTTCTCTTTCCCGGCTCCTTCGGTTGGACGAGCTCTCTATCTCTCCTTCTCTCCCTCCCTCTATCTCTTTCTTTCTCCAGCTCCGTCTCGTGAACGCTCCTCTCCTCCCCCCCCCCGGCGCTCTCTCTTTCCCACCGTCCCTTGCTCTCACTCTCTCTCTTTCTCGCTCCCTCTTCGTGGCAACCGGCGAGCAAGGGAGAAAGGAAAGACGCAGAAAGAGAGGGACAGAGGGACAGAGAGAGAACGGGAGACGGAGAGGCCCGAACGAAAGCGAGAGTGATCCTCGGCGCGCTCGCTCCCTCCTGCTGTACACTCCACCCGTCCGGTCGGCCTGTCGCCGTCGTTGCCGTTGCCGCGCTGCCACTACCGTTCCACAGCCCCGCCAGCGACGTTACCAAATTTCTCGGGGCCACGGAGGCTGCGAACGTTCGATCACGATCACCGGCACCAGATCGGCGAGCTATCGCCGCGAGAACCGTCCGACACTGACCCCCCGATAGGGCTCGCCGGATCCCCTATCCTGGCCCTCGGATTCACCACGAACTGCTCCGTTTCCCCACTGTTCCTCCGTTCGGTATCACCGTGCGTATACATGCAGGGCCCCCGACTGTGCAATCGACCCAAGAACGAGACCAGAATCAAGATCCTCTGCGCTCACTTCGTTCCAAAAAAAAAACAAAATCGGAGAAAACAAATTGATTTTGAACTCGAAACAACGATCAGAGTCTCTTGACTCTCGTCCTATTTTCATCCCCGACACTTGTGCTCCGAAAACGCGGCGGTCAGTCGCCGGACGCACCAGGACGTGTCACGTGTGTGCAGGTAACCAGCAACGGCCGAATAATTCCACCAGGATTCACGTTTCTCTGCCCCTCCCCCTCCGCCGTCCTCCGACAGAACTCGCGTACCGAAACGCCACACGCACACGTACGACGAACGGTTTTGTTTCCTTTCTTTTCACGCTCTCTATGTATATATATATCTTTCTATCTCTCGCTCAATCTCTCTCTCTCTCGCTCTCACCCGTTATTCCCACTCTGTAACTCCGTTTGCTTTGCTACCCTCTCGGCCTCCTCTCGGTCGGTTACGCAGAGGCTAGTATCACTCCGGCGGGCCCGTGTAGCCGCGATGCACCGAGGACGATACGTGTTCACGGCCGGACACCGTCGGGCCGGCCTCACGAGCACGCATCAAAACACTGTACCTTTGGTTCGGCGGACTGCCCCGTGGTGAGTGTGCTCGCCGCGCGGTGACTGTATGCTCCAAGAGTATTCTTTGTCCGTGCGGAGTCGCAGCTGCCCGCGTTTCGGCGGTCGGTCGCGATTCGGCGGCGCTCGGCACCGCTCGGGTGTCATCCCGTTCGTCATGGCGGGAACCCAGGATACGGCCAGGACCATCGTCGGCCCAAGGGAAAGGGAGAGGGAACTCGAGCGTACGCTCGTGCACGCCGCCTCTCTCTCCCTTTCCCTCGGTCTCGGTCTCGCTCTCGCGTGCGCGTCGGGCGACTCCGGCTCGCGCGCGCGCTCTCTCTTTCTCTCTCTCTCGCTCGCTCGCGCCGCGTGACAATCAACGGCGAGAGCGAGAGGAGGGACGCCAGAGTAGGACGGACGGCACCAGGAGCGAGAGAGAGGGGCCGAGCCGAGTTAGTTGACCGAACACAAGACGGAGTACGAAAGATTTCGATGCGTTCCGCCGAGGGAGGGGACACGCGGCGGGGCGTGGAGGAGGGCAGGGAAAAGGAGGACGCAGGCGCAGTGCCGTCGGCTACCAACCCCTCGCTTGATGCCTAAGCAACAAGGGGATGCTGCGAACCTGCTTCGACCGAACGCAAAAGCTTTTCGCCTTCTTCTTCTGATTCCTCTTTTTCCCGATCACGCTTTCTCTCGTTACGTGCCCCGGCTTCTCTCTTCGATTGCTCCTCGTTGCGCAATCGTTTCGCCCGGGAAAAATCTACCGGAAAATGTGTCAGCTTCGGGGAATTTAGTTTGCCGAGTGTATTCCTCTTTGCCGCTGCGAGGGCTCCCGCTTGTTCAGCTCCTTTGCCTTTTCACGATTTTTAGAAATCGCGGGGATTTCAGCGAATGCCGACTCCGCTGCGGGGCTTGAAATGCTTATGCGCTTTCAGTGCTCCACTTCGCCGAGGGCTGTTCAGGATACCTCCGGCAACTCGTTCAGCTTTTTAGCCGAACGTTTCTTTTATTAGAGACGCCCGGTCACCGTCAATGAACTTATAGAGGCCGTGTCTTTCTATTTATTTTTAGATTTCGGGGATTCGACGACACTTGCCCGCCTTGTTCGACATCTTCGCGATTATGGAACGATGATAATGTCTTCGTTCCGCGTTTCGAATTCGCTGATTTTAACAACAGTGGACCTTTTTTTATCGAAGTCATAGACGAAAAACGGTGCAGTAAATTCTCCCTAATTGTCCCTCGGCTTGGGTACAAAAGTGGGCAACTTTGGGAAGAGGAGATGCGATTATTCGATCGTTTGTTTTTATAGTTGCCGGTTGTCGACAACTATTCTTTCTTATTTCATTACCTGAAAGTATACTTCTATCAAAGAATATTGTAAAATATTTGTTCCAGAGAAATTCATGAAGTTGTCGACACATAATTGAAACATTTCTTTTTAATCCGAGAAATTGCAATTTTTTTCCAAAATAATTTTCGACATTGTCCAATAAAGTGGTCTTCGTGAAACAATTGAATTAATTTGGCAGGATTTTTAAAAAGTTATTCCGTTTTAAATACTTCCGTGAGCCCGTATGCCATAAGTTGTCTCATCAAAAATGACTATAATGGATAAAAGTGTAGGTCGATGCAGCAATTTTTTAACTACAGAAAGATGAAGGTATAAACTAAATAAGTTTGAAGGCAGGACCACGTAGGACGCAAAAGTTATGTCCATGAATTTACAGTAAATACATTTCATTCGCCCTCACGATTACAAAATTAATTTATGTAAAAATAGGTATATCGCCTCAAACAAGAAGACTTCGAAAATTCTATTGCAAGTAATTTCCTAAGTTTAATCGCTTTCCCACAGTCAGTTGTAACTTTTTCTATAATAATCATAAAATTAATTCGGTAAATATATACAGGGTGTGTCACCTAGAAAAGCTTCCCCTCAAAATTCTTAGTCGAAAATTACTTTCCAACTGAAATGATTGAAACCTGATATGATAACCTGAAATGATTTCTCAACTTTATCTATAACAACTATTAAATTAATTTATATTAAAATAGATATCCATGGTGTCTTCTAAACAAAAAATCTTTGAAAACTCAATTGCAAATAATCTTCTAAGCTTAATCGCTTTTTCACAAACGATTGTAACTTTTTTGAATTATAATCATAAAATTAATTCGATAAATACAGATATACAGGGTGTGTCACCTAGAAAAGCATCGGCTCAAAATTCTTAGTCGAAAATTACTTCCTGTCTTGTATTATTCTCCCTGAATTGATTTTTCAACTTTATCTATAACGACAAAATTAATTTATATAAAAATAGATATGCAGGGTGTACCATAAACAAGAAATCTCTGAAAATTCCATTGCAAGTAATTTCCTAAGTTTAATCGCTTTTCCACAAACGATTGTACCTTTTTCCATAATAATCATAAAATTAATTCGATAAATACAGATATACAGGATGTGTCACCTAGAAAAGCAACCACTTAAAATTCTTAATCAAAAATAACTTTCCAACTTGTACCATTCTCCCTCGATTGATTCCACAACCTTACCTATAACTACTACAAAATTAATTTATGTAAAAATAGATATACAGGGTGTCTCCTAACAAAGAAATCATTGAAAATTCCACTGCACTCTGCACTTGTCGCTGTCGATTGCCCGACAAACTCGAAGTTCGAAGTGCAATTGCCACTCGGGAATGAAAGTATGTGTTCTCTCGCGTTTTCCACCCCATAGAGGCATCGTTAAAGTGGCCAAATCCAGGAGTAGAAACTTCCCCATCGGCAGGTTCGATTTTCATGATTTTGACCATGACATCGGGCCTCTGTGGCACCGTGCGACGGCCGAAGTTCCCGAGCCGGCATCCGGTGAACCGTTCAGCCAGCCGTTGACCCAAGGAAGGACGTCGTCCGATTCCGTTGACCAGAAACGCGCCGCGATTCTTAACGCTCGAGCGGGCACCGGCGTGCGAAAGGGTTAATCAGGTTCAGTAACCCAAATTTCAGAATGAACGCCCATCGACAAAGGCGGCAGAAAGGACACCGTTCCGCCGCGTGTCAACCGGGTCGCTTCTCCGCCGTCCTCGATCCCAGCGTAACGGTCAAGGGGCGGGTGGTGGCGTTGGCGGCGGCGGTGGTGGTGGAAGGGTTGTTGCCTGCGGGCCAACGAAAAGCGCGTTGATATCGAATCCGAAGAGGCTCGTCGAAATAAATCGTTAGCGACTACGTGGTGGGGGAGGCGGGAAGAACAGCGGAAGAAAAGCTCGTGTCTAGGGGCGCGGATTGGTCGCCGGGGGTTTCGGGCCAGGGTCGCCGAGCGAGCTTTTACGACGTTTTTTTACGAGTCCCGG